TGGCCCCCAGCCAGGGTCAACCCACCACTATTTCTAAGATATTTCTGTTGCAAATTTTGGTCTAAGGAAGAATTTGATTCTCTTTTTATTTCCCCCAAAGTAATCTATAGTATTTGGAGTTTTGCATTAATGAATGTTCTTAGTGCCAATACATACCATTGTAGTGGAATCTGTCCTTTAGACTTCATCTGTCTGTTTTGTCTTGCACTCGCAGTTCTTCTTTTGCTTCTTGTGAAACAGTTCAGTCCTCTTGTTCCTTAAAAATTGTCTTTCCTTCCCATGCAGGGAATTTTTAAGAAAGATCAGTTGCCTTTGGATGCGTCTTTTGGATCGCTTAGCTGTCTTGTGGGTTCAGCATAAGTGGTTATCTGCAAATACATCTCATTTATGCTCTCTGTTCCTTTGACCAGCTGGATCACCAGCATATTCTTTGCAGTTTCCATGCTTATACATTACTGATTATTAGATACTTCCAAGTGGCCAGACTTCCTCTTCTTCCTTTTCTCTAATTTTTACAGTTTGCCTTTTCTCAAGTGTTGCTGGCAGGCAGACAGTTTAGACTGCCAAACCTCTTCCTTTGTTTTTGGTGGCCAGTCTTTTCTTTTTTCTTCTTGAATCTGGGGCAATGAATCTGCCCACTTCTGGCTCACCAGGTATCTCCCAAACTTTGTGATACTGAATGTTCTCAATAGTTGTCCTTCCAAGCCACAAATATTTTTTTTTCCTTTACGGCTATCAACTTGGACTTTGTATAGAGGAACTTGCTTCTGGCTCAGGCAGAATCACAGAATCATTTTGGTTGGAAGAGACCTTTAAGATCATCAAGTCCAAGCGTTAACCTAGCACTGCCAAGTCCACCACTAAACCATGTCCCTAAGCACCACATCTACACATCTTTTAAATACCTCCAGGGATGGTGACTCAACCACTTCCCTGGGCAGAAACATGTTTAATGTGTATTAAATCCATTTCATGCCACTTTCTGATTCTGTATCTGGCTGTCAGAATTCTAAATTAAGAACTGCATCAAAGAGATCTGTCTTACTCTGAAAGCCACAAACAGTTCCCTTGTTTGCTGCTTCTGTCCAGGTGTAAGTGTGGTAACTTGTTTAATTACTAAATTATCCAGTTCAGCATCTCCATGCTTATATGTGATTAATTTGAATTGTCCAAATTCAGTTAAATGAACTCAAGTTGTATAAATTCAGTAAGGATCTGCACAGAGATAGATAGTCTTCTTTCACTGTTGTGATTTGGGGTCTAAAGGCTAGCTCAGAACCCTTAACAACATTTTAAGAAAAAAAAAACCACCACCAAAAAACCAAATGAAAAAACACATTAGAAATTTTAGATTCCCAAGACCTTTGTGTATAAGGTCTGCTGCTGTCTCCAAATCTTCCTTGTTTGATCCAGAGGCTGCTGGTGCAGATAATCTTGCTTGCTCACAGTTTTCTTTTGTTGGTATCGGATTAAGGGATTTCAGCGTACAAGCAGTTTGCAATTTTGTGTATGAACAGCTTTGGCCCTATCCAAAATGCCTTTAACTTAGTAAGAATATTACAATTTACTAATGAACATAAGAGCAAGAACATCTGTAGTTCATTTCACAGAATCGTAGTTGAAGCATTCCTTAGAATCATAAGTTTGAGATACTACTCAGTAGGCATTCCTCTCCTCTGTTGTTGTTTAAACATTTAATGGTATCTGAAGTAGACTCAGCTGTTACAATAAGAATATAATTTGGTGCAGCCCTTTACTAAAGTACTTTTATCTTAAATTCCTGTTTAAACATGAGATTTTTGTAAGCCCTTGTTCCAGAATGGGAATTTACAAAATGATGAAGAGCCAAAGCATTTATATGAATGCATCTCAGTTTTCTTTCTAAACTTTAATAGGTGGTGCTGTGAATCTTAGTAGTAATAAAACAAACATGCTTTGTAAGAATTCATTTACATTAGTGACTTCTGTTTAAAAAAAACACACGTTTTTCTAAGAATTCTGAGGAATTGGATAATACTCCTTTTTCTCTTGTTTACTCAGCTTTCACTCTGTTGAATAAAATGACTACGAGTTCAGTAATTTCAATTAGTGGATTTTTGTGCATAAAGCCCCCTGATATGACTACCCCTTTCCCAACAAAATAGACTTTTTACAGGATTTTTAAAATGGTTTTCATGCTTTCTATATACAGCATAAAATAAAGAGTATAATGCTCAAAAGAGGATTGGGAAGACAAATGTCCTGTTTTTTGCCCTTGATATACCCAGAACATGCTGAAGGCTTAATTTATACAGGTTGTCCTCAATTTTAATTGTATGATAAGGCTGTGGAGCTAAGTAAACATAATGTTTGATGGTTATTTTTATTGGTAGCCAGATGTTTAAATCTGCAATTGGTTATAATGACCTGCAGAGATAGGTGATCTATTATTACACATGCTAAAGGCTATCATCCGTTTCTCTTATTATTTCAGTCTGTCAGGCTAAAACTTGGCAAAGTCACCATATGACATTTTCACTTTACATCTGTCACTACAGCCAGAATAAGTAGATGGTATACGATCTTTTTACTTTGGTTTTAAGTGTAAAATATATAGGCCATTGATAATGTCAACTTAGGTATATGAAGTGAAAGTTGAAGTAAAGTATATTGATTTCAAGAATCACAGAATCATAGAATACCGGGTTGGAAGGGACCTCCACAAGCAATTAATCATAGAATCATGGAATGGTTTGGGTTGGAAGGGACCTTAAAGGTTATCTAGTTCCAACCCCATATCTTCAACATGCTTCTGGCCCTGTTTTCAGAACTGTTTTAAAACCAGAAAACTGTATTTAATAATTAATTTCCCCTTAATTATACAGCGTTTTGAGCTTCAAGATTCAGAAAGACACTTGCTTCCCAGAAGGATTACAAAAGTAGAAAGTGTACATGGAAACAAACCCTTCAAGGCGGATGTAACTATTCAGATTGGTGAAAAAGAAGTGACATTCCAGGTATGAATTTATATATTCATCAAAATATATATGGTTTTAGATATCATTAACTTGTTTTCATCGCATCAAGAATTTGACGCTTTCACTTCAGACTAAAACTCATTTGCATTGAATATTTTTTGGATGTGTAACACATGATTCTTATTAGGAAAACATTTAGATACTGGAATATTAGATTATGAATGCACAAGATTTTATTTCTAGATAAACTCATACTTTCCTACATGATTCATGTAAGTTTCTTGCGTTAAAAGAAGTGCTAAAGAATGGATGAAAGAAAAGCCTCTAAATTTTGGGGGGTTTTTTGTTGTATTAGAATACTTGTGATACTCTTGGTGCTGCTTTCCCTTTTTCTTTTAATAAAAACAATAGTCTTTCTACACTTCAAATAAAATCTAACGAGTGCTTGGTAATGTTCTGACACAGGATGTTGGGAAAATAGAACAACAGTAATGACATCAAATGTGATTAGTTTGAGTTTCTTCTAATGAAGTTTATGACCTGCTAGGTGGTGAAACAAGGCCTTATTCAGGAAACAGATGCTGATCCGAGAATTTGAATTTAATGTTGAATTTGGAGAGTCTAGAGAATCTGTAAAGAAGGTGAATTAGTGGGAGTCAGAGAGAGATCGTATTACCAGTGGTGAGGAATATCCTCAGAGGGTTTGTACCATGACAAAGTGAAAAGGGGAAGAGCAGCAAATGGGAATTTATCAGGAAAAGGTGAGTCTGTAGGGACCTGATTCAACTCTTTTCCGAGGGGAAGATGTTTGCTTTCATTTGACATGTAGGTAATGCCTCCTCAAAAGATGTCTGCAGAATGTGTCGTTGGGAACAGCAGGGCATAAGGAGTTTGCAGATGAAACCATTCCCAGTCTAGAATGGGAAATAGAACAACTACCTTAATGTGGGGAGCAATTGAAACTCTCCAAAGTTCTTGTCAAAGTAGCTCCTTCAGATTTTCACAATGCAAATTGCTGTTTCTCCCCACATTTCTCTGAGCGATAAATATTGGTCATTTTTATATTTTGTCTCTAGCACAAACAGCCTCAAGTTCTTCATGGACCCCAATGCTGTGATTGAATTTGTTCATATTTTCTTATTTTTTTTATGAAGAGCGAGTGAAGGAGGTTGTCTGTTGGAAATTATATGATTTAATTTTTTCAAGTGAAAGATTTGGCTTTGATGGATGACAATCATCAGCAAAATATTACCGTAGTTTTGGAGAAGCGTAACCCAGTCCACACAAAGCCTAAAGGTGTCACAGTATAGCTTATTTAGCTTTGCTTTTTTTTTTTTCTCCTCCTAATTATTATTTTTCCTTTTAGGTTCCAGCTGGGACCAGGCTGTTAAAAAAGCATCCTCAATCAGATACTTTCGTAAGGACTTCCAGCCATAATCGACTGTTGGCAGAAATGATGCAATCCCATATGGTTAAAGATATGTGTTTAATTGGAGGAAAAGTAAGAAATTACATTTCTTTTCTCCTTCCTTCCCCAGGTTCCTTAGAATGTAATCTAGTTCTTATTTTTGAACTCTTTAGGGCTGTGGCAAAACAGTTATTGCTAAGGAGTTTGCTGATATACTGGGATACAGCATAGAACCTGTCATGCTGTACCAGGTAAGTAAACTATCTGATGATGACCATGCTTTAACTGTAATCCAAAATATAATACAAAGAGGTTGATTCTTTGTGCATGTTCTCTCTCTCTCAGTGATTTTAAAGCTGCAGATATGTTCATATACAGCCACAGCTTTTAAAATCACTGATAGTCACAGATATGGGTTAAAAGAATAAAAGACAGCAAAGTTTTCTGGTCATTATAGAACATTTTTTATTCTGTTAGAATACTCATCTAAAATCTCTTCTTATTGAAAGTCTAAATAGGGGGGATACCGTGCAGCAATATAGATAGTACAATGTTATTACATATAAATTAGCCCTGACACTGCTTTCCTTCGATTTTATTGACTTTGTTGTGAATGTGAAAGAGAGATAATTTAAAGAAAATGTAAGGAGAATCATTTAACACAGTGGTCTTTCTTCTAGCCACAGAGAATTGACAACTATTTCTGTGATTTGGCATGACTGACTGTCATAAAGAAAACTTTGTCTTTTATGTCTTCTGCTTTTCGGATTTTTTTTCCCTTTTGAAGTATGTTTCCTGCCTTTAGGTCAGACTGGTGACCACTTGTAATTCATGCATGTTGAATGCCTCCGGAAGACCTTTTGTCTTTCCTTTTTTTTGTTTGTTCATATGCTATTTAATCTTATTATGGAATTCTCCATTATCAACACTATTTTTTCATTATTATGGTAGACAGTTTCTTTATTGTATTGAGAATATATAATGGATTTTATGTTTCTGGGGAATTTTTTAAAAATTATCTCTCATGTTCCATAGGGTTAATCTTTCTTCTGTTTTTTTGATGTGTTTCTTCTGTCAAGATTGCCTAATATCCTCTTACATGTATATTTTTCCTGATGCCTAACACGTGGAATTTTAAACAATATTATAAATTCTGTGCCCCGCCTTTTTTTTTTTTTTTTTACATTTCCGTTCAGTATGACAATTACAGTTGGGACTGTGTTGCAGTAGAGATTAGAAGATCAAGTTCTGTGTTGAAAAATGTTGCATCCTAGAAATATAAAAGGGCTGGTGTTCAATATGTACATATTACATTCAATGAATATTAACTTCATTATTCATAGGTGCCATTACAGACAGTAATGTTCTTCCACTTGCCTAATTGTTGCTAATTTATTTATGTTGTGTCTTAGCGCAGATGTGGCTTTAAAGATAAATTTGGGCTGAAGCGTGCATTAACACTGTGAAATGCATGGGCAGTTGACGTAGTTGCCTGAGAATCGTGGTCATGGGGTAAAATGACAAGAAGGAAGAACTGGAGGAGTCGTAAGGGTGTCTGTGGGCTTTGAAAGAAGTGGCAAGGAGCTTATTGTTGTACCTGCATTTTTCATGAGTCGGAGGAAGAAGTTTACAGTAATTGAAAAAGTAAGGGCAGAGTGAATGTTTTTACTGAGTAAAATGTAAAGTTTGTATTTAAAAAGATTAACATAGAAGTAGTAGTGAAAGCTCCAGGAAGGTTGGAATGCAGAATAATAAGGGAATGAAGGTTTTGGAGCTGTCAGTTTTCTCAGGGTATGGTGCAGTGGGGCTGCTGTACATTTGGGGTTTTTTCCTTTGATTTCATCCACAGTGCTTCAGGCTTTCTCACAGCACTAGAGTTTTTTTTGCAAACCCCAAGCTCTGTCATGCTTAACAGTCATCTCCCATAGCCAGTGGTCACTCAGTACTTGTTTGGAAAAAATTGTCAGTCTTAGGTCTTGATACACTCTAACCTCATGACATAAACTGAAAAATTACAAGATTAAAAAGTCAAATGAACTAATTTGCTAGCTTTTCACAGTAGGGATCACACATGTAAGGTTTTCTTCATAACCTTGAGGAATGAAAACACTCTGAAATGAAACAGGAAGTCAAGAGTCTCCCATGACCTTGTGAGGCAAAATACACCAAATATCACAGGATTTACAGTTGTAAGTGATAATTGGCAATGCTGCAGGGGAACATTAGCATCAGATCTAATGCAATATATTGGTCTCTTTCTTCCATCCCTTTGCTTACTTAAATTTTTCCCAGGCAGCGTGGAGACCTCCAACGGAAGAAATGGCAGTGGCAGCTGATTTGGAAGTACAGTGGCCTGTGGGGGGAGAGAGACACTGACAGAAATGGGTGGTGAGGGTGAAGGGTTGAAACAGACAAAAAGTGAGAGAAAATAGAAAAGAGCAATATTACTGATCATGAAAAAAAGAAAACCAGTCCATTTTATGTTTTCCTGCACGGTTGAGAACCTCCCCAGACAGAATCCTACTGCTTTTCCTTCCCCCCTGTGTGGCTTCAGCTGATAAAGGCGCAGGCTCTGAAACTGTGTCTGCATAGATGGAGTCAGGCAGATGACTTATGCCCTTTCCTTACGCTTTAACATGGACAGATGCAAGCAGATTTGGGTTCCAAAGCTACATAGTGTCATCAATGCAATGTTATATTCACATTAATACACCTGGATTTCCAACAGCACCTATTACCTTCTGTATAGTAGTATGTGAAGATAGGCATGTAGTTTGAGCCAGAACTGAGTGTATCCAGCTAGCCTGCATACTGCTCTCTGCACTTGTCACTGTAAACCTATTTTTAAATCATCCCAGGAAAATAGCTTTTACAACTTGACAAACCTGCTTAAGGATGGGCACACCCTAACCCTTGTTTTGTTGCATGCAATAGAGTGTTGGGTACTCACCAACAAAATTAGACAATTACTTGGTTAAAAACATGGCCACTGTTTTTTCAACATCCTACCTTTAATTAGTATGGCTTCACTGAATAGAAGCAGACGACTTTTTGAAGACATATGAGAAGAACTGCCAATGAAATTAGTTACTCAGTAAACATCTTTCTTTCAGAAGGATCTGTAATTCTTACAGAAATAAAATCCAGGTGAAGGATTTGAAGTATTTCCTGTTGAAGTGTGAACCATTCCATTGGTTTCACCAGGGTTTGATCAAGTTCAAAGGGCAGAGGTTTTTTATAAAGAGTTTTTTTGGTGATATCAAACATTATTGCTAAGGCAAATAAATGACTGCTTGTGAGCTCATTGTTCACTATAAATTCCTGTGTAGACGAGTCTATGTAAGATCCACGTGTATACCTATACGTATAGGTATTTCCTATGTTCAATGTACATAATCTCAAAAGTTTTTATAGGAAGCAATGTATAAAAAAATGATCAAATGTAGCTGTGCTATACATCTGATAAATTTTAAGAATGCATTTGTTTTTCTTAAAATATGTAATAACATATCACGGGCTTTGCATAGTGAAATAACAGGATAATTTAATGACAGAACAAATGTTAAATGTATTCATTCATATAGTAATTCAGCAGTGAAGGCTATGAGAAGTTTGATAATGCTGTAAATTTAGCAGATTTTTCTACTGTGGTTCAACAGGTGTCTTTCTGATTTTTGGAGAGAGACACCGTATTGTCCAAAGTCCATTTCTAGAATTAAGGAGGCTTTTATTTGTCCTGTGGTTCATTTTTATTTTCCAGTAATTTCTGCAGGCACAAAAATAAGTAATGGGGCACTTATCCTTGGTCTGAAGCAATAGCACTGTTTTTCTTCAGACTCTGTGAAGAAATGAATTCTTAGAGATTTTATATATATATGTATAAAGTTTACTTTTATTTTTAGTATTTGCTTAATCATCCTTTCCATCTGAAGTTAATTTAAGGGCTTGAATAGTGTGAAAAGGCATAACTCTTTATATTCATTTCACAGAAAAACACCTCTAAAAGCTTTTATGTTGTGAGATGAGAATCAAATTTACCTAAACCAAGGATTCTCAAACCTTCTGAGCACATAAATCATCTTCTATATTAACAGTTGGCTCACAGAACAATTCCTGTCTCATTTGTGATATCTGACATCGTTATACGGATTTCTCATTATATGCAATTCCACACAGGCAAATTGCTGACAAAGGAACTCATCTTGATTAGGAAAGGTTTGTTTTTAAGTTGTCTCTTAATGCAGTTAAGCAACAGCAAATGAGAAGCAGCAGCCAGCTAGTTCTTTGTGGACTGTAGTTAGGGATCTTTTGGTTTAAATTATTTAAAATAAAACATTTTCTCCCCCCAGAGTTTCAGGGGGAAAAAAATAGCAGTATGCAAAGTGATGTTATAACAGTTTTCCAGCAAGTTGCTCCTTTTCTTCCCCAGCAAAACCAGTCTTTTAAGCACATCACTAGTGTTTGTGTACTGTGATGGTTTTGTTTCTAGGATTTCTTCTTTTTTCTTTTTTTTTTTTTTTTTGCATGACCTCATAATTTTTCTTTACAAATTCCTTCCAGTTTTTTATTTGAGAAATACTAACAAAATATGAGTCCAAATTGGCATGAAAAGCAGGAAACATAGATTTTTTTCATCTTATAATTGCCAAGAACATGATTAGCACTGTGAGCCATGAAGAATGGCCAGGTTGGAGGCTTCTATTGCTATAGCTGCTAAAGGGAGTGAAACAGAAGTTACCCTACTTGTTTTCTCTCCTAAACTTCTTTTTTTCCTATGTACAAGATCTTTTAGAAAATAAACAGCACAATGTAAAACACATGTTACAATGACTGCTACAAATTAAGCACTGTGTTTCACAAGGCAATATAATGTTGCCATTGCTTTGCCCAAAATAAAGGAGGAAAAAAAATTCAGGTATTTCTATTACTTCCCCTCCAAAGAGGGGGGATTTTTAGACTTAGTCTTATAACATTATATCTCATAATGTTATATTTTTAATATCATAAATTAAAAATTGATGTAGAGTAAATAAACAAATCATAAATCACTGGACAGGTATTTAGCCATAAAACAAATACGTTACAGAAACTGTGCAGTTGTTAGTGAATGATACTTCTTTTTAATGCGTCACTAAATTGAATCTCATTCAACCATTTAAATTACAGTCTAAACATTTTAAATTTCAAAGAAATATTTTGCAGCAAAATACATTTCTGAGTTTATCACCAGAAAATTAATGCATGCTTCTCGAGTGGCTGTTGGAATTACAGCTGGACATTCTATATAGCATACTCGGCTCCCAATCAGTTCATATTGCACCTTGTTTCATTCCTCTAGAGGTGAACTGTCAGACATATGTTAGTTGAATATTCAGTTATACAACATTTACTAGCTACTGAATGCACACTTCTGATGCTAGTCCTAAACCCACATTTTTCTCTGGCTTTGATAAAAATGTTTCACGTTCTGGTTTTAGTCTAATTCATTAATAAAATAGAAAAGAGCAAACACTGCAGTAAAAAAGCAGAACTACAGCAATAAAAATACACTCTAGTGTGGTGGATTTGAATGTGAGACTTTAAATTTTACATATGTGGAAACAGTGAAGGAACCAGACTTTGTCCTGTTATTTTAAGGCTTTTAAGGAAATGTAGAAAGAGGAAATGATTCAGGCCATACAACGTAATGTGTTCTATTTTTATTCTTTAAAGTTCAAAGGGTTTATAGTTGTGAAAAGGACATATGCAAAAGCTGCAGCTACAATAGAAAATATTTTTCTCATCTGATTTTAGGTTGTGTTCACAGCACAGCCTGAGGAAAGGATTTCATCTTCTAGGTCACAAAATGGTTATTCTTTGTTGCTCTAGTGCTTACCTGTTATAATGGAGCATCTAAAAAATACGTACTGGAGGATATGCTAGATTTTGCCTTTGGTTTTGATTTATCCCAGAAGTATTATTTTGTGATATGCTACGTACTTCTGATACTTTGTGTGTTCCTGGCTTCTTTCTTACTCTGTCCTTTATTCTCCGATGCTTCTGTTGCATTTTCATGCTGAGAGGTGAAATGTCATGCTGGTTTGTGTTCAAGATTAATGATGAAATCTTTGCTCTTTCATGTGACTTCGTCTGTATGAAATAAATGACTCTTATTTGTTCCAGGTGTAAATTGCTGCCCCCTTCTGTACACAAAGCTGTGTACAAGTTGTCATATGCTTGCATTACTTTTAAGGGGGGAAAAAGAAGGTTTTTGTTCTGGTTTCAAATAAGTGATATTGGCAAGTCTAGAACTTCCAAAGACTATTTAACGTAGTTTTTGTGTAGATTTGTGTGTGTATTTCTAATACTCTTTGGAAAAGTAATTGATTTCTTGCTCATCTTCTTTGGGTATATTCAGGAAAAACAGAATGCAGGTTTTTTAAGGAGAAAGCATGTACTGTCGATGAAGAAAATAGAGCATAAATATACGTTTTTGATGAAATGATACTTATAGGATATGACGGCTAGAGATTTGCTACAGCAAAGGTATACTCTTCCTAATGGAGACACTGCTTGGAGACCATCGCCACTTGTTACTGCTGCCCTGGAAGGAAACCTTGTTATTCTTGATGGCATTCATCGAATTAACCCTGGCACTCTAGCTGTACTTCAAAGGTCAGGATGCGAGCACGGATAAGATCTGTTTAGTGAGTGTGTGTATACTGAGAAATTAAGTTCCTCCTGGTGAACATGACTTTATAACTTCAAGAATACTGTAAAAATGAAGCTGAGCATTGACGATTCATAGAATATGTAATGTTCAGTCTTTGCATACTTAAAAGCAGAGGCAATTCTTGCATGTTCTTTGCAAATCTATAATACAAGACATTTCAGCTGTTTGTAAATACAGAATGTAAGTCTGAATTGAAAAATGATCTAGATTTTACTCTAAACTTATGAAATCTAAAAATTAGTAATATTTGCTCAATAATTTGAAAATGCAAGATGTCAGAAAATGTTTAAAATACTTTGAATGCATTCTGCTTTGAATAAAATGTGATCATTGCAGTTGTATATAAAAGAGTACTTTATATTGATTACAAAGAACTCTTTCTAAACATTATTTCATAATTTAATAAAAAATAAATTAAACTTTGCAGAACAGAAGTAGTAATGGCAAATACTATGTTAATAGTAATAATTTATACTGTCAGGTCAAATTTTTGTGCTATTTCATGTGCCTGCATCATATACTGCCTTTTGCAAACTTAAAGGACATCACCAGCTTTAAAAGCAGGTTGTAGCAAAAACATTTTGTGCCTTTTATTATTATATGTATATGCAGAAGAGCAGAAGAGAGAATAATGCTTGCCTCTTTTTTTCCCTTTTGAATCATTTTAGATTTGTCTTCTGATTTTTCTTCTGACACAAGCATGTGTTATATCTAATTAACTTCTGCATTAAAAAAAATAAAAGCTGGGCCTGTATGTATGTTAATCATTAAAACCAACTGAAATATATTGCTTCACAAAACAAAACAGAAATAGGTTACTTGGTAGAAGTATAACAAAATGGCTGTTTCATGCCATTTATGCACACTCTACTGGTGAGACAATTTTTTTATTTTTCATTTTTTTACTATATCTATTAAAAACTAAGTTGACTGACTATGTGCTGAAACTGTTTACTTATGCATATTATTTTACCTCCACACCTGGATGCATCTTAAATTGGTATATTTTTTTCTTTTTACTATGACCCGTGTTGACTGAGGTAGCTTTTGAAAAAATGTTAGTTGATATAAGTGTTTTTAAAAGTAATCAAAGGCTGGATAAAGCTTATTCTTTATTTTCAAACAGACTAATACATGACAGAGAACTGACTCTTTATGACGGCACCAGATTGTTAAGGGAAGATAGATACCAAAACTTAAAAGAAGAATTACAGATCTCTGATGAGAAACTACAGGAAAGGTAAAGTGTCAGCAACAACTATAGAATGCAAACAGCATTTCATCCTGTAAAGAGTTTAATCTCCTCTTTTTTTCTTCTTTTTTTCTTTTTTTGCAAAAACATCATGCAAAATGCTTCTCTATTACATTGATACCTTCTAATCACAGAGAAACATAGTTTAAACATCAGTTTCAGCATGAACTTTTGTTTCTTTTTGTGGCATGAGAAAATTATATCCTGTTTAGATTGCTTGAACTAAAAGGAAAACATTCAATATCCTTTTACAGAAGGAGTTAGACATTGAAGAGAAATTATAAGTACCTAAAAACATAGATATAAAGGTATATAATACTTAATTCTGGAACATTTTATTAAGAGTGTTGGAAAATAAAGCTAAATTGAAGTTAAATACAACTTGTTACTTTCTTTTTCCTCATTAGCTAGAAAGCTGGTATTTAATTTACAACTAATATGGGGCAGGAAATCCTAAGGATGGGTTGGGACCCATTATGCTTATTCTTTTTGTTTCTTCACTTCCACTTGTCTGCTAGAAACATTCCACTGATAGAAACGTTTTATACTCCTCTGATGGTCATACTTAATACCTAATCAAACACTGCTGACCAGTTTTAGTTAATGGGAGGGATATTGCTGAGTGCATGTCAAGACAAATGCAGTCTGATACTCAGTAATATATAAGGAGCTAAACATACCATGATTCTTAAATGACTCTTAACTGCTGCAAAAACAGTTGAAGTTTTATGTCAGATGTCTGTGTGCATATTTATACCGCAGAGTATGCATGTGCTCAAACTTTGAAGAGGCCTTATCTGTTGTAGTAGGGATGCATTCATGATCTGCTACCCCTTTTCTCTCAATTGTCTCACTGGATACAATTTTTTCTTTGACCTCCTTCATAGTGTACCCTTTAGAAAAGCTATTTTGCTTTTACTGCCTAGTTGTTTTGTTATTTCTCGTTCCCTTTTGATCCAAATTACTGGTTTTTTTTTTTAAAAAAAAAAACAAAAACAAAACCAACAACATAGCAAAACAACAAAACAAACTTCATTTTAAGTCTTCCATAGAAATTATTTTGATTTTTTTGGTAAGTATTAAGTAATTTAAGCCTACTTGTTGCAAATTGTGTCCATGCTGCTGAGGCCATACACCCAGCTAGATGGGCATTTCCTGCATTTGTTTTGTTGGAGTGAAGAGCTATGTATCAGGGAAGTGTTCTGTTCATCAGGATTTTAAGCCCAGACTTTGAAAAGAGGAGCAAAAAACCTCCAAGGATCTATTTGGGATGTTATCCCAACTTTACATTGGACTTTCTACTTCAAAGTAGATCTAGTCATTGTGTGAGTCTCCCTGCTTCGTGTTGACGGTGTTGCCCAAGGTGCTTTCAGGCAGAATGGCAGTGGCTGGGCAGTTTGCTTACTGCATGGTACCCTTCAGTTCATCCCAATATACTCCAAAAACCTAGAAAATTCATCACACATTCATCTTCAGTACTGCTTCTCCTCCTGGCTCAAATCTGTCACACAAGAATAGAGCTTTACATCTGGATTCTGTGTCTCCCTGCACCTGTCACTGCAAGCTTCTGTACCTTCCAGTGTTGCTGAATAGCTGTGCAGAATTAGCCCTTCTCTCCAGACACCTTCTCATCAAATGATATCTAGGGTACTGACAGCTGATTTAATCACAGACTAAGAAAACACGATGGTGCTAACCTTCCCTCATTTGCCTGTGGAAGAATGCCTTGTGGAGATATTATATAGAATATGCTGTACCTTGAATTCATTAGGAGATTGGCTGGGCAAACTCCTACTTCTAAATCGTGATTGTGAGATGCTTTACCTATCGATGAGAAATGTTGCTTGCAGTGTGTCAATGGCTGTGCCTAGTGGCCTTAGCTATATTTCTGATGTTAGACAAAAAGAGAGCTTTACTTACCCTGTTTTACTGGGTTTGACTAAAGGAATTTTGGGACAGTTGCTCTTTGCCAGGCCTGCAGAATATATGCTGTCATTCCCAGTTCTGCTGGGACTGAATCTGGGATGTTTGATGAGTGGCACATTAAGACTACTGGTAATTTTCCAATAAGGGAGTTCCCTATGGAAAGTGGTTTCAAGTTTTGTTTGAATCAGGAGATTATTCTGACTTTTTTTTTCTTCTCCTAAATTCCACTCATTCCGCCTCGATTCTCATTTGTGTATTGGGAATGAATGTGGTACATAGAATATCTGTTATGTTATAAAAGTAACTTTTTTTTGTTACTAACCTTTTTTTATCTACCTGATCTCATGTGCTAACGTAGTTCTTATGAGAAACAGAGGAAGAGGAAAAAGCATACTGAGAGGCACATCAATGATTCAGTGGAAGTGCATGACAGAGTTTTAAATGTCTAAGCAGTCAGGCAAGACCTAAATGAAGTAGCCGAAAATAGTCATAAACAGAGGAGATAAGAGTTCAAGAGAAAAAGGAGTATTTCAGAAGGACTGGAATTTGAAAGAAAGAAGCCAAAAGCTTCATTAGGAAATCATTAGATTAGGAGACGGCAAGGCCATCTTCATGAGTTAAGCAAAAGCAATAGATAGCTGGAAATTGGAAGGCAGCTGTGATAGAGAACTGACATGTTACTGCCGTATATCAGAGACACTGAGACATGGAGTACATTCTTCCTCTCCCCCGTTCAGGTCAGCTTTTCTGTGCATGAGTGTTCTTGATTGTAGTGACTATTTGTAGTAAAGTTTGCAGTTTTTGTCTTCTGTGCTACTTCTCATCATTCATAAATACAAAATAACTCACTCTCTGTTCCCATAATTTGACTCACTAATGAGGTGGCCACATGCTATTGTAAGTTACATAAATACAAATATGTCTTTCATGATGGAAAAGAACAACTGATAGTGCTTTTTAGTAGACTGCTTGAACTCAGTACTTTGTGAATGGAATTTTAAAACAGAATTTCCATTTAAATCTATTTTAGAGAAAAGGAGTACAATTCCAAACCCATGAGCCAAAACTTCTGTAAACATAATTTTTTAGTCTGACACACCTGAAGATTTTTCCCATCTAAGAATAGAAAAATTTGAGGTATTAATGGAGAAGTTATAAGGGATCCCTTCTTCAGACAAGCAAGACACATTTTGTACTAAGCTTTCATGCTCCTATATGAAAATACTTGATAGCAAAAAAAAAATCACATTTTTCGTGCCTTTAATTTTTATTGCTTCAATATTAATAATACTTATATGTGTAGCAGAATAGAAAGGAGAATACTGCACAATCTATCACTTAATTTCCAACCTTGGTAAGTCAAGAGGGTTTTTTTTTTTTAAATAAAGGGATGGTATTTCAGATCACACTATGGTCTAAAGAAATCACATGCCTCGCTCTACAAATGTAAACCGTGTTGCAGTAGAGAACGTGAACATGGCAGTGTTATTAGCGGTGCTGGCTGGACAAGGAGGAAAGTATTGTTTGTTTTTTCAGACTGTTTTCAAGTTTTGCAGATTAAAATAGTATTATTCATAAATTATATTTTTTGAACAACTTCATCTGACAGGCTGAGAGAGTTGGGGTTGTTCAGCCTGGAGAAAAGAAGGCTCCAGGGAGACCTTACAGCAGCCTTCCAGTACCTGAAGGGGCCTACAGGAAAGCTGGAGAGGGACTGTTTACAAGAGCATGGAGTGATAGGACCAAGGGGTAATGGCTTTAAACAAAAGTCTAGTGGAGGGTGTCCCTGCCCATGGCAGGGTGGTTGGAACTAGATGATCTTTAAGGTCCCTTCCAACCCAAACCATTCTATGATGTAAAAGTTTTATTTCCTTTGTAAGAGCTAATAAAATATATTCTTAATTTAAATGATGTTAATTACTGTCATTTATTTCATTACATATCTACATCTGTCATGTCTACTAGCATTTTTCTGAGAAGGGCTTCAGACTGGCAGGTGCAGTAGCTCTGTCAGGACACGCAAGTGCAAGCAGTACGTTTGCCCTTGTGAGATGTTGGGATATTCCAGGTCTGCTGAAAGCCTGTAAGCTACAAGGTAACTAGCAGTGGGCTCAGAGTACTTTTTCCTCTGTTCTTGTGCAAGTTTGGCTGTGGAGTTAAGTTGGCAGTCACAGCTTAAGATGACATTCGCTGATTTGAGGGGAAGTAAGTATTTTTATTTATGAGTTTGAGGAGAAGAGGAAAAAAAGCTGCCCTTGAGAAAATGACAGATGGTCCTTAAAGATCTTTTACATAGAAGTAAATTATAGCTGCTGGGTCCTTATTCATTTAATGATTGTATGATTCATTTTCCTGAACAGGTTCAGAGATTAAGAGTAAGCGCGTTCAAGTACTGTGCATATCCAAGATTTCTTCATAGGATTTCTTTTGTAATAATCCCTTACTTCACTGAGATAGTGTAAAGGTAGCACACAGCCTTTACAAGATGAGCAGTGAAGTGCTGGTTTGTCTTACAATGTGGTATTTTAACCCATTTGGGTGGATATCCACCCCGCCAACACACACACACACAGAGCTAAGCTCTTAGTATGGTAAGCAGAAAGGCAGCTATTAAAGGAAAATCTAGAATTAGGTATTGTTCAAAAGCTAAAAGAAGTCACTCGTAATGCATGGGTAGTTTCAATGCCCTGCAGACAGTGGATTATTTTCTGTGTGATTAGGTTGAAAGGGAACACACAGTAGATGAGAGAAATATAAAATGTGGCAGGGAGTGAATTTAGCAAGTAATAAAAGTTTTTAATTGCTTACATTTTCTAGCTTTTACTTCATTTTTTTTGTTGTTGTGGTTTTGTTTTTTTTTTTCAGTTTAGTGAATTTTCAGATAATCTCTTAATTTTTAGACTGTGGTGAAGTTTAAGAAAAACAGCAAGAAAACAATAGTAGGTCACTGTGGTCCTGGTATTATAACAATTCCCAAGTCAAAAAAATTGTTCTTATTTTAATAGAAAATGAGATTTATTAAATTATGTTGCAGGAAGAAATGACCAAAAATAGATTTGTTTTGCATGGTGGCATTAGGAATGCTTTCTGCACTGGGGTTTTTCGGGGATTTGCTTGTTCTTTCCAAGAGAAACTTCAATTGCTCAGAACCATGTGTCAATAACA